CCGCCACCTTCCCCGCCCCCCTGCGCTCGACCCATCGCTTGTTACAGCATCAGAATCCCCCTCCCCCTCCCCCTCCCCTCTCCCCACCTCTACACACCACCCCCCTGTAGGCTCGACGTGAGGCCGCCAAGTCGGTCGCCACGGACCCCTCCGGGGGTGCCGCCCACCACCACCACCCCCCTAGCCCCGCCCCCCACCCGCCCCCGGCCCCGCCCCCGGCCCCGGCTCCGAGTCCCTACAACCCCTCCCCTTGGTGGCCCCCGGCGCATTGGCTGCCTGACCTGCCCCCCTGGGCCGCAGCCCTGGTTCCGGAGCTGGCTGCCGTGTGCCGGGAGTTCGCGTGGCTGGTGGTGGGGGGCCTGGCGGTTGGCCTTGCGTGTGGGTTGGTGCTCAAGTGAGTGGGAGGTTAGGAGGGAGGGGGGGGAGAGGAGGAGGTGTAGCTGGTATCGGTGCTGAGAGGTCTGAGTGAAGGCGGAGCTGTGACTGCGGTAGCGGATGTGCGGAAGGGAAGGGGGGACAGAGGGGAAGATTGCCCGGGGTTGGGGGGACGTGTGTGTGCGTGTGTGTGTGTTTGAGTGAGGGAGTGGAGGGGGTGATACGCGTGTGCTTGCCTCACTGTACCTGTTCTGACGCCCTTCGTCAGCATATACGTCAACGTTCCCACCACAAAGTGGTTACAGCTGCAGTTACGGTTGCAGTTACGGTTGACAGTATGTCGTTTCGTGATTGCTTCACAATGCATTCGCAACGCAGACGGCGTTTCCCCCATCGCAAGCATCAACCCTTGCTCCATGGCCCCCCACCACTTCCCCCTACTCCCCCTCACTCCCCTCCACACACACCCCAGGTGGGCCCTACGTTTGCTCCAGTGGCGGCGTCTGAAGCCGCACGTGGAGGTGTCCCTGACCCTGGCCGTGGCCTACCTGGCCTTCTACCTGGCCAACGCCTACCTGCAGGCCTCGGGGGTGATAGCGGTGGTGGTGTTCGGGGTGTACGGCGCAGCTACAGGCACGTGGGGGATATCTTCGCAGGTGGGTGAGGATCTGCGGAACACCAAACCGCGAGACACACACAGACATACGCACACATACACACAGACATACGTACACACACAGACATATGAACATACACACACTCACCAGCCGGATCCGCCGGCAGTAGTATCTGCCCGCGGCTCGGCACATTACACGCCAGCCAGCCCGGTTACACCTCCCGCCCCACCACACACACCCCCCACCAGCCCCCCCCCCACACCATACCGCACATGCAGAGGACAGGCCCCTCCAGGCGCCCCGCCGGTAGTCGTCAGCAGCCGTGTCTTGTTGCTATTGGAAGCTGTGCATGCTTGTTGTGTATGTGGGTACTTGTCCCCCCCACCAAGTTTGGTACACTCTTGCCCTGGCGGCAGCTTCAATCGTGTGTGGTTCGTCTTTCCCCCCCCGCCCCCCCCGCCTCCAGGCCCGCCGTGCGGGTGCCTTTGATCGGTTCTGGGACGTGCTGGCGTTCTGCATCAACGGCCTCATATTCTTCCTGTTGGGGGCATCAGCCGTCAACTACCTGATACGGTAGGCGGTATGTATGTTTGTATGTATGTATGTTTGTTTGGTTGTATGCTTGTATGCTTGTATGTTTGTATGTATGTTTATTTGTATGTTTGAATCAGGGGTGGGGATCTGCGAAGCGCGATTGGCGGCGGTTGGATTGTCGGTTGCTGTTGAGGTTACGTTTGCGGTTGGGCTGCGTGTTGGACCTGTCTGAGAGCACC